CTTGAAGGCAAAGATGGTGAAGCTTCATCTTTCATACTTTTCATACTTTCATACTTTTGACATATAGCTAGATGAGGTTGTTCATTGAAGAACATCATGCTCGTAAAGATGAGGGGTTAGCGAAGGATAGGAAGACCCTCAATGAGGTGGATTGACACAATAACTTCAACAATGGGCTTAAATGTTTCAGAGATGATGAGGATGGTATAGGTTAGAGCAGGGTTCAGGTTGGCTGTTCATAGGCTCACTATGAGTTATATTTGCCTTGACAGCACCCAACAATGTACCACCAGGGCTGCACATAAGACTTGTGAGGATTTTGATGTGGCTTGATAAGACCCAGGTTCTAGGTCATGCTGAGAAAGTCCATAGTAGTGCAGTGCTTAAATAGTTAACAGCTATCTGAAAGACTGGAGATGTGATTCTGCCCATATTTCCCTCAAAAGAAAGGCTTGGGGTCTACTCCTGAAGGAACCATAGTTCTGCACTAAAACATCCTGGGGTTACCAGGAATTAGACTTAATTCATGGCAACTGGTTGATCAGTTGATAGACAATATAATACCACTTAATAACGAAACTGAACTATTCATCTTTTCAAGTGTAAATAGATTACAGTGTTGAATGAAGAGCATATGGTATATGAAAAGAGTCTGGTTTTCCTAGGTATGAGACGTAATTTCTATTGTCTCTGAGTGAAAGATCTACAAAGCAGGACATGTGATTGCCTTGCTCCAAGATCCAGATGATCCAGTGACCCTGGACTGTCTCTAGAACCAAGTACCTTCACACCTAGGACCATTGCAGTCTGTCCGGATTGCTCTGCCCACTGATCCTCACCTGGTTGGTTTCCTTGTATATTTCAGTTTCATTTCAGATATCACTTCCTTAGAGGACTCTTCAGCGGACTGTTTTTCTTAGATGCTATTGAGTTGACCACTACTCACAGTGATCCTATGAACAACACGTCAGAACCTTGCTCTATCCTATGCCATTGTTATGATCTTCACCATGACCAAACCTATTGTCACAGTCACTGTGCAAGTCTATTTTGTTGAGGGTCTTCTTCTCCTTTTCCCAACATGATAGGACTATTAAATTGTTCTCCACTATCATAATTAGTTATCTTTTTTTTGCATGTTAAAGAAATTCTTAGAACCTTAATAAGATTATACACAGAGTAAATCCAGAAGATGGGATTTTAAATAAGAAGAACTACCAACTTTATTTTACATAGCACCTCAAGGAGCTAGTGTTTTTCAGCTTAGAGAATTTTGGTATGTGAAATGTGCTTTTTAAGTCCACTATATTAATACATATGAATTTTCATCCTGGAAACCATTAGAAGAAAAAAAAGTAGTCCCAAAGTGCATAGCCTGTGTTACCTTGATTATATTTTCTTTCAATATTACTCATTGCTTTTGGAAGTGATCTTTTCTCTCCTTCCTATGCAAACCATAAGAATAAAGACATTGGTTCACTGATCCTCACGCCCCACCCCAACTCCCAATATGCAGAGCAGATCCTTGGACATAGCACATAGTTGTTGTTGTTATGTGCTATCGAGTTGTTTGTGACTCATAGCAACCCAATGTACAAGAGCCCTAAACCTCATTCTATCCTGTGCCAGCCTCGCTGTATCAAACACATTCATTCCCACCACTCCACTCACAGAATCGATCCATCTCGTCGAGGGTCTTCCTCTCCTTCCACTCTCCCAAACATGATGTCCCTTTCCAAGGACCAGTCCCTCCTTGCAACATGCCCAAAGTATGTCAGATGAAGCTTCAGAATCCTTGACTCCAGGGAGCATTCTGGCTTCACCCTCTCCAGGACAAACCTGTTTGTTCTCCTAGCAGTCCATGGTATATTCAACACTCTTCTCCAGCACCTCAACTCAAAGGCATCAATTCTCTTTCTATCATCCCTATTCACTGTCCAACTCTCCGACGCATAGCACGTAATTGCAAAGACTATAGCCTGGATCAGGCCCACCTTAGTCTCTAGCCTGACGTCGTTGCACTTTAGTACTCTTGAGAGGTCCCTCACAGCTGACTTTTCCAATGCAATTCATCTCCTGATTTCCTGGCTGCTTTTACCAAGAGTGTTGGCTGTGGAGCCAAGTAAACTAAAACTCTTAACTATCTCAATCTCTTCACCATCCAAACTGATGCTGTCAATTGGCCCAGTGGTGAGAATCTTTGTTTTCTTGATATTGAGCTTCAATCCATATTGAAGGCTGCAGTCCTTGACCTTCTGCAGTAAGCGCTTCAGGTCCTCCTCAGTTTCAGCCAGCAGGGTTGTGTCATCTGCATAACGCAGGTTGTTGACGATCCTTCCACCAATCCTGATGCCACATAGTAGGCATTCAATTAATAATTGTTGAATGAAAGAACTAAAGCTGCCTATTTTTCATGCTGCCTTCATTTATTATTGACACTATAGCAGGGATAATGAGGGTGGATGTGTCAAAGACAGTGAAATTGGCTCAGGATAGAGCAGATTTCAGAGCTATTGTGTGTAGGATCACTATGAGTCGTAGTTGACTCAACGGCACATAACAACAACAACAACAACAACAAGACAAAGTTGTTTATGCATTTCTGTGAACTCTGAGATGGACCATTCATTGTCTCTAGAGACTGGGATTCACATTAGCGGTATGACAGGATCATTCTAGTCTCTTAAAGAGTGATTGGGTTTCTGTCTGGAGCTGATGATTGAGACTGTGGCAGGCAGGCAGAATATGCTACTTACCAGGTGATAGGTTCTGAAAAGCTGCCTTTTTCCTTGGCTTAAGGTTTTTCTGAGAGCACATCCTAATTAAGACTAAGCAGTGCTGAATTGTCTTGGAGGGGAAGAAAGAAAACTAATCACTAAAACTCTCTGGTAGCAAGAAGCTGTGCTGCCATCCTGAAGGCATGCAGTTCGAATCCACCAGCTGCTCTGCAGGGGAAGGTTGGGCAATCTTTTCCCGTGTTGTGATTTATTGGCTCTGAAAACCTGCTGGGGGGTCAGGTGCAGGTCAGTTCCTACTCGATGACACACAACAACAACACAATTAACAATAACAATAATAGCAAATCAAATCTCTCTAGCACACAAAGCCACCTCATTCTTCTTACATACCCCTAGAATTGATAGATTCTGGCCTTGTTCCTGAGTAGCCTCATCCAAGGTTGGCTAATTTTTTTCCTAAAAGGTCAGATATTAGTATTTTTAGCTTTATAACTCCCAAGTTAGCACAAAAGAAATCACAGACAGTGTAGGAATGGATAATTGTGACTAGGTTTAGACTAAGGACTGTGTCGACCGGTTAAACTCCACAAAGTCTCTTGTCACCTCTGATCTACTCTGGCCTCGGCATGGCTTTCTTTTCTGATGGAGGACATAGACCTGTGGAGTTCTCAGGTCACTCTGCGGCATATGACTGGGTGAGTGCAAAATACACATGAGGATAAGGGGCCCACAGCTAGGTGGCACCGAGAAACCACAATCGGAAATCAAACCAAGTTTGCAGTTTTGAATTTAGTTCATCTAAATGGGGGCTCAAGTCATAAGAAGTTTAATTCCACAATCCTGCACTGAGTATCCACTGGGCTGGTTACATATACGGTTGAATATTCAAGATAATTAGCAGCTGGTGTAATGGGGAATTGACTAATCAGAATGGGCCAGTGTTGGTCACATTCTGCAGGGACATGTGGGTACAGTTGATATGGGTGGGAAACCAGCTCTGTGTACTGCTGGAGCTGTATACAGGTGTAGACCTGGAGGGAGAAAAGCAACCCTATGGTAGAATTCATGATCATAACTTTGTTGTCAGACAACAACCAAATGCCCAAACATGTCGACCATGTACCTTTCACTAAGGTTGGATAGTCCATTATTAGAAGCCACTAGAAATCGTTACTCGGTTAAAAATCTCCATCTTTTCTCCCGTGCAAAAACACTTGGAAGCAAATGTGCCTTGACTCACTCTTTGCAAAAAAATTCTAGTATGAATTTTTTGTATTAGATATTTTCCAAATAACAGCTGTGAGAGATTTTAAAAGGAAAAATAAAGCCAGAATGTGTAAGCAAATAAGATACAGGCAGTCCCCAGGATATGAGAATCTTGAAATATGCGCGTCCCCTTGTTACGAACTAACTACCATACAGTCTATTATTGAAAAAAGGCAATGTATATACAGTGGTTCATAATGACAAATGAGTACTATTTTACAGTGCACATTAATACATTATTAATTTATTTTTTATCTAGAAGATGTTTTTCATGTATCTGGAAGTGTTTCATTTTGGGGGCCACAGAAAGGTACACTATGTATAAAAGCCAATGCTTAACTAACTCTTTGACATTACACATGAACAATTTCAACTTAACATGTAAACTCAACTTATAGACAGATTTAGACAAGGAACTTGTTTGTAACCAGGGACCACCTGGCATTCAGAACTGTACTTTAGAAAGGAGACCCCTCCCCGAACAAGAAGAGCCTGGGAAAAATTTAGTCTGCTTTAGGTTTTAATCAACGTTATTGTGAATACAAGAGTAATTTTCAAAACTATGAATAAGCTTTTTGTTGTGATTATTAAGAAGCTTGACACTAAATTTATGATCCACATCAAGGATATAAATCTTATACCTTATTTCTCATTTTCCCACCGTTATTTCTTTTTCTCCATGATCCCTTGATCTTTATTTTAACATGTTTTGGCATTGCACATTTCTTATGTCATCTCATCTGTAAGGAATGAGATATCTAGAAAGTTCTTTATTCTTTCCTTTAAATAGCTACATATGTTTATTTAGTGTCTAATACCAGTCTTAAAAGGACAGTTCGATGCCAGTCCTAAATGACCAGAAAATAGTATTCATTACACTTCAAGAGACTTATTAAGTGACTTGAGAAAAAAAAAACCAGATTTTCGAATTATTTTCCTTTTTTAGGTTCTCCTGGGCAAGGAGAGGAAGAGGGAACTGTGCAAAGGTTTACAAACCTGGGCAAGGTGATAGTTGTTCCTTGAGGTCCTGGAGGTGGCTGCAAATAGGGAGGGGGCTGCAGTGGAAAACTTCAAAGCAGAGATGAGGAGGACGGTGAAGCCGGATGCCAGGAGCACCTTCATCTCCCCCCCACTATCTGGGTAATTATATCAGCCTGGGACTGGCAGACAGTGCACATTTGCACTTCGACCTTGAGCTGCTTTTATAGAGTCAAGCAGGTCTGGGCCCTCAGAGCGAGGATGATTCATGTCTCAAACTGTAATTACACAGTTCATTTCTTTACCTGATGATGGGGTAACTTAACGGTACAGGGGAGTTAGGGGAAAATCTCATTCTTTTTGATTTACCAAGTTACAAAAGAGAAAAAAAAAAACAACTGTGAAAGTTAATAAATTTTGTTAGCTACTTGTACCAGTTAGTGTTCAATTAGATTAATTTGCATTCTACTCAACTGAAATATTTTATTAGTTTTAGTCTGTGGGTCTTTCCTTATTTAAATAAGATTATCAATAATTAGAATATTAATTGATTTGACCTCTCAGTAATCCTGGGCTTCCCACATGTTCAGCCCAATCACCTGTATCTTCTGCATCTTCTGCAGCATTTCACGGTAATGAATACTGTGCATAATGATGATTCCAGGTCCCATAAGATCCTGAATCATCTTGAATTATTACATTACACTGTGCTGACTTGGGGTGAAAAGTGGACTGATTTTAGAAAGATTTTGAATGAATCAACTTAAGATTTTGTTATTTAATCAAAACAATAGCTAGAAATCTCCCTTCCTTCTGGCTAATAGGAACTATAGACTTGGTTTGCCCTGTTTGCCCTGGCTCTGATTAAGATGCACTTGGATCTACACAGCATGGAGAAATGATGTTGGATTATAAGAAAGCTCTTTGGCATCAATGTGAGATTAAATTTGGATGCAATATTTCCTAGCTGTATGACCTACAATAAGTTATTTAACCTTTATGAACTTTATGTCTTTTTCTGCAAATGATTGAAGACCTACTTGCAGACTTTCAGCTCCTCAATGGTAGATAGTAGCCCGTATACATATACAGGGTATAACTTGTTTTCTGTTGAGACTTCCTTGGCATCCATTAGACCTGAGCTCAAATTCTGTTTCTGACACCTGTTCATATATATGACTTTGTACAAGTGCTTAATGTTTTTCAGCTATGATGCTTTCAGCAGAAAAGATACCATGTAGAATTATTATGAAGAAGTAAGCTAGGTCATAACAAAGCCTTTAGCAGAGTGATCTGTAGACATCAACTCTTCTTACACAAGAGCATAATGCTCTGTAGTCCCTCTCAAGTAAGATAATATTTTACAAAATCATTGTTCCTGCATGCTGCGTAGTATTCCAGTGTGTGAATGTACCATAATTTCTCAATACATTCAATTGTGGTTAGACATCTGGGCTGCTTCCATGTTGGTGAACAAAGCTGCTAAGAACATTGGTGTACAAGTCTCTGTGTCAGTGTCTCATTTCTTACTTTCTCAGTGTGTATTCAAGTAGTGGAATAGCTGGGTCATAAGAATAGAAAAATAATTTTTCAAAATGTGCTTTTATATCCTCTTTCATTCTCTACTGCCTTATTGTCAGGCTTTCTGCCTAAATTGAAGAACAAGAATTATATATTGGAATCTCCATTCAATTGGTCTTCATGCCCATTTTCTTCCCCAATTACTGCTTTAATTCATCAAGCTGGCTCATAGGCCAAAATTAGGATGGAGATGGGTTATTGAAATAAAAAGAATGAACAGTGTCAGTTGATAGTAAATGTTCTGCCTTTAAGGTGTGATCTGGGTACTTCAGCATCTATTCCATTAATGAATAAATAGAAACAATTCCAGAGTTTTCAAGTGTAGTATTGTAATTATTCTGCAAGCACTCTAAAAAAGAATAGTAATTTGTGTATTTATAAGTAGTTTACACATAGCGTGAATAAATTTTACCTCAAGGCCAATGGTAGGCTATGCCTTTTATCCTTCCGAAGAATGAAAGACTCAAACAGGCCATTTTCCCCTTGGATTTTCTCTTTTCTTTATTATGAGTCATCTGCAGCTTGTGAATGAGATCTGTTTCTAATTGAGTCTTTATGAATTTTTGAGTAAATTAGGTCATGTACATAGTTTAGTGCAAGAAAAGCCTGGAAGCATTTTCAGAGATTTAAAAGCTACATTTGCATCAAGTGAAAAAGTGATTTATGAAAAATTTCTTGCTGTAGGAGTTGCTTCACTCCTTTCAAAATGAGGGCAAATTTATATGAAGTCCTAATAATTTAATGAATTAAATGCAGAACTGCTAAATGAAAGGTTGGCATCTCAAATCTAACAGCTGCTCCTCGGGAGAAAGAGAATTTAATCTATTTCTGTAAAGGTTACTTCAGAAATGCATGGTTCAGTTCTACTCTGTTATTTAGGATCACTTTGAATTGGAATTGACTGGATAGCAGTAGGGTTAGCTTTAAAGGGCACACAGCTGTAGGTCAGAGATTATAAGGAGGGCACAGCAAAGGACAGGGTTCAGATCTGTTCATGGGCTCACTGTGAACCATACTCAACTCAATGGCACATAACAACAACAAGCTGTTGTCTGAAAATCGGATGTTCATGACTCAGGGACTGCTTGCATTTTTCTCTATCATTCTTGTATAAGACACACATTTAAATACAAAGACAGGATTAAAGAAAATAAACAGAGAAAGGACATGAAGTAAGAAATTCTGTATCACAGAGGAACATGGAAATCATAATGCTTGTAGAAAAATTGTGATATATAAAAAATAATGTACATGGGACAGGAAGTTGGAAATGTCTGAGCAGGAATGATACTTTGGTATCCAGGCTTCCTAGAAATGTTCAGCAAAGCCCAAGTTTCCAGACTAACACAAGAAAATAAGAGTTTTGAATGATGGGATCAAATTCCCTCTATAGAACAGCTCCTTGTTGGATACCAGTTGATATGGATTCCATAGGAGTTTTAGACTCTTTAGGGTTATGAAATGATATTTATGACGAACACGAAGTATCAATGAATAAGTAACTAAGTGCCTTGTTATTTAGCCCTAAAAATGATGAAATGACTAGTTTATTTAGGCCTAAAAAAGAAAAAAAAAAAGGATAAGCTCGATACTTAGGCAGATGGAACTAAATACTGACTGACTCGGCTAGTTTTTAGGTACCCTATCAGTCAATGTCCTTAGTCTCAAGGTGCCGAAATCAGCTCTGGCTAATATAAGAAAAAATACATTTCTTAAAAGGATCTCAGGTAGGTCAGAGTACTGCCAGGGATACTGGCTGACCAGGTTAAGAGAAATATCATGGAAAAGGGCTGTGGAAACTAAAAGCTAGGAATGGTATATTTCTCTAGAACCCTTGTCTCTTCCTCCCCATGCCCAGGGAGTCAGTTTATTGATTTATACGACACCAAATCCCAATACACTTTGCATATATTGACAAAAAGTTGATCTGAAAATATTTCATGACATTGCTAAATATCACAAACATTTGCACTGGTAATGGATTGGTTATAGGACTATCCTAAGTCATACAAATCTATAGACAAGGAGCCAAAACACCATGCCAAGTCAGTTACTGTGGCCCGAATTCTGTCATAGAGAAACCATGTGTATGAGAGCAGAATTGTTGCCTCTTAATACTTGCTGACACTTGAGCTATTCCAATAGGGTTGGAGGACTGATGATATCTGACTTCAAAATTTACTAAAAAATCTACAGTGTGATATCATTACCACACCATGTGAACAAAGAGTCTGATAGGGATACAAGACAGATGACTTATATCAGTGCAAGAAGAGAGTCCAGAAACAGACCTGCACAAATACAATCACTCGATCTTTGGAAAGGCAAGTTAGTGGAGAAAAGATCTTTTCAATAAATGGTGCCGTAGCAATGCTTTTACATGCAAAGAAATGTTTTTTTTTTTCTGATATAGAGCTTAGATCTTTGACAAAATTAACTCACAATAAATCATAGACCTAAATTTAAGATACAAAATGCTACAATTTCTACAGGACATTGGGACAATCTAGGTGACATTGATTTAATGATGACTTTTCAGAGATAGCCCAAATAAAAATCTATGTGAGAAAAAAATGGATAAGTTACACATAATTAAAATTTAAAACTTCTGTTCAGTTTTAATTCAGTGTTAAAAAATAATAGAACAAACCACATGCTGGGAAAGAGTACATGCTAAATATAACGAATGAACGACTTGCATCCAAAATAGATAGTTATTGACTAAATGAATGCAAAAATGATTAAATGTTTAAGCTGTGGAATAAGTAAAACAAGATTGTTCTTGGATAAGTTTTAAATTAAATGATAAAAATAATTGAACAAAGGGTGCAGTCATTTTAAGGAATCAGATTTACCACCCACCTTATCATATACCAGGTATTGAATCAAACACAATATTAATTTCACAATAATCTTATGTCTGGGAGCCCATTCTTTTCAAGTGGAAAACTTGGAATGAAGAAGGTTTGATAATTCATTAAAGTTCAGATTTTAAGTCTGTTAACTGTCAGTTCCCAGCTGACAAGTTAAGAGAAGCTAAATGAATGTCTGTGCCAAGCAGTAAAAGGGGAAGCAATTGCTGGTGGCAAAGGCACATGTCTCGGCTGACTTCTGGCTTTCTAGCAGCTCTGCAGTTCTTTGACTTGCTGTTGTTCTTGCTTGACAGGCATTATGCTACTCGGATTGACCAAGTTCTTGGACTGGTGGTGTTATTTCTCTTACACATTATTAAATTGTTCTCTGATTTTTGTATTGCTGCCTTTAGTAAATATTGTCTTATTAAATTATTACATTTCTGAACTTTCAGTTTGGACAATCAATTGCAACTTCATAAATTTTACACTCAGTAAAAATTACAACTTAGTAATACTGTTTACCAAGGACAGAATGCTTTCTGGTGAGAATCTTCCGACAATTACCTCATCGATCAACTAATCGCAGCCTGTGGCCCAGGCAAGCTTCTTCAGAAAAAAGGATGCCTGATTTTTTAAGACGTTAATTTGTTTACCTTAGAAATCATAAAATAATGTTTTATAATGTTGATAATATTTTTGAAATTTATAAATTTTT